CTGGCAAGATCCTTTACTGGCTCACACAACCATTTCAGTGCTTTACTTCTGAGCTGTTTATTTGCCTCTTAGGAAAGCAGCTGCATTCTTATGAAGTGTCCAGATCTCATATCCCTATCAAACAAGAATGCTATAGCTTTGTATACCTGATTCTTGTGGGAGGGAGGGTAAGAGAAAGGGTCTTTGTGTTTAGTAACTGCTAGACAAGGTCATAGAATTATAGGGAAAAATCATAGGGAAGTTGGGCTGGAAGGAGCCTCCAGAGGTCATCTAATCCACCCCGCTGCCTGAGGCAGGATCATTTCTATCCAAATCATGCCATACAAACCATACTCTAAATTAGACATCAAACTACTGTCAACCCTGACACAACACAGACATAACACCCTACCCTGCCATAGGTGAAGTAGAGGAACCACAGCAGAAAACATCCTGCTTCTATGAAATGTTCTCAATATATGCTCAAGAGATCCCAGGCTGAGGGCCATACTACAAAAGGTGGCAAAACCCCCATAGTCCATACCAGTCTAACCATGGGGTAAAATTCCTTCCTGTCTCCACATATAGCAATTGGTCTGACCCTGAGCAGAGGGGCAAGACCCACTAGCCAGACACCTCCAGCTTTGGTCCCAGCAGAAACATTGGCACACACTAGTCAAAGTCTCCAGCCTTGGCTGTAGCCAACACCCAGAGCCATCACACCTTCAATCCTCATCCAGACAAAGTCTGAATCTGTGGTCCTGTTGTTGGCTTCCCCTTCTGCTCAGTTTGCTCCACTACTACAGAGCTGGTGGGAGTGTCTCATATCCACACACAAGGAGACCTTGAAGAGACACCAGGATACTGGTGGGTACTGGGCAAGCTGGCTGTGTGTCTTGTCAGGGAATGCAGTTCTAAACCAAATGTGATGCCTGGTATTCAGGAGACCCCTGTCATTTCGATGCCAGGGTCCCCCAGACTGGCTGGAGCATAAGCTTGTAGAAGCTGAGCAGCTATTCAGTAAAGCTAGCATTAAAGGACCTGGGCACTGGAGTGAGAGCACCTGCTGCCTACAGGTTTGGGATGGGTGTGTGCACAGTCTGTGGGATCCCAGGATCCCATTCCCAGGTGCAGGAGGGAGTGAACCACATCACTGTGCAGAACAGCCCCCTTGCTGCTGGGGCTCCTCTCCCGTTGCTGGATTCCAGCGCAGGAGCTGAGAAGCCAAGTGCCACCTGTGTGATGTTGGCTTCTGATGGAGCATGAGATTGGAGCAATGTATCCACCACAGGCCCCTTGATGGCATCTGTGCCCCTCTGCCCATGTGTGATATGCAAGGTGGGTGCATTTAGAGCCAGGGAGATCTGTGCACTGCATCAGGCCACCTAAACACACCAACTGGAGTGAGGCTCACAGAAAGGGCACCTGCAGAGGTGCCAGCTAGGAGTTTTGTCTGCCTGTGGCTCACTGAAAAAGCTTCCCCAGTGGATGGGGTGTTCATTTTGAATACAGAGCACACCATAACGGGGGGAGGATAAGCCCAAGAAGGAGTAGGGTTGCCCAGCCAGGTGTCCTCTGCCCTGCACCTTGCCTTGTAGAGCTGCCCACCTTCTCCTGTTGCCGCACAGTTTCTTCCAGGGCTTTTATCTTGGCAATTTTCTCATTATACTTCCTTAGCACCGCCTGCTGCTGCTGGTGGGCTCGCTGCAGTGTCAGCAGGTCCTTTTCCATGTCATTTTTCTGGTTGGAGAGAGAGGAGAAGGCAAACTATCAGATCCTGCAGATGATGGTATCTGAAGATGCAGGGAATCCCTACAGAGGTAGAGGGACCCAGACCGACCCTGTGGGTCTCCCTGTCTTGCTAAGCAGTCTCTGAGGGGGCCGTTGAGTCGTAGAGGGGATTCACCTGGACTGAAAGCCCAAAGCTCCGCAATATTGCTTACCACTGGGCACAGCTGCCTCAGCCTCCCCTGATCATTTTGGAGAGAGAGGGGACTTTGGCCCCAGCCCTGATCTGGAGCACAGTATGACTGTGTAATGGCCTGGGACATCTCTGCTTCCATATTAACTTCTTGGTGCCAAGCTGCCCTTCCTTGGGGAAGCTCCTGGGTTGAGGTGCCTGAGCACCATGTTGTCTCCCCCTGAAGTGGCCTTTGGCTCTGAGCTGCCCACTCTCATTCCCACATCTAATCAGGACCACACTGCTCCTAATGCCCAGCTCTGCAAAGCCACTTCCTCCTTCCTCTGTGCACTGACTCCTGCCCTCCCTGCACCCCCCTGCCAAGTGAGTTCCTGTCCATACGACCTCCTCACACCACTCCAGCCAGTTCAAGTGTTGCTGCTAAATTTGACATCTGCTCCTGCTGCTTCCGTCATTTCACCATGTGCCTCCTCATACTCCCCCTGGGGCTTGGCCTCACCCCCTTGCATCAGGTAATCCAGCATCTCCCCAGTTCTCCTGAGTCCACACTAAGTCTCATGCATAGGGCTGCCACCTACAGCCCTTGGGCCAAATCCCATCTTCTCTTGCTTCTAGCTGGAGGTCCCTGGCAGTTGGAGGTCCCTGGCAGGTCCCTAACCACATCTCTGATCCCTGCTGGTGCCCCATTGCTCTGGACATCACTTCTGCTCACCCTTGAGGTGGGTTTGCAAAGTTCTGGGTATACTCACAGCTCTTT